TTGAAGAACTATTTAAGAGACATATTTCCACTATACGATATCGCACCTTTAATCAAAAAAAGAAATAAGTCAAAATTTCAATTTTGTGGGAAAACGCAATCAAAGTTTGACTGATTTGCATAAGCAACTTTAATCTGTCATAAAAAAAGAATGAAATTATTTAGGTGAATTCTAAAAGTAGATTCTATTAGTATAATTATTTAACTTTTATACCAACTATGAAAATGATCTAAGTTTTTCTTTTTAAAGATGATTTATAAAAAGAAAAACAATAAAATAAACATTTAAAAAAAAGTTCGAAGTTATTTCACTTTATGCCGAAAAATAAAATTGCCAAGTATGGACATACGCGAGTTAATATCAAAAGTTGCTATTTTATTTAATATACTTGAAAAATGTATGATAAATTTTGATTTTGTACAGTATTCTACTAATGAAATAATAATAAATGACTATAAATTGTTTTATTTCTATTTATTCATTGAAATTTGCAAAAAATATAGTTGATGTTATTAAAACTGATGTTGTAATTCTTTATTTTATCCGTAATTCTCATGTAATCAAATAATATAGAATCCTAACAAAAATTTTGTAAATCAATTCAAATTAACTTAAAAAGAGAGTGTAGGTTCATTGCTATAACTCTAGTTCCTTCATCAAATTCTTACCCCACAGTAAAGTCTGTGAAAAAGAAAAATAATGTGTTAAAAACAACTTCATGATTAAAACAATGCAGGCACACAGACATTCGAAAGCTGCACATTACGCTCCAATACACTGGTAGCGTTAAATTCTGCACAATATTTTAAAATATAAACTGAGAAATATGTTGTTGCCCACTATTCGTTTTATTGAAAACTTTTAAAACAATTATAATACTTGAAACGAAAAATGAATTTTGATAAGTTAATGAACTTTTGTAACAAGATGTATTGGACAATGAGAAAAAAAAACAAAATTGTAACTATGGTTAATGGTACAGATGTCGAAACTAATAAACTTTTCAAAAGTATGTTGAAGCGCAATTTACTTATTCAATTTTTACATTAGCCTTACCATTTCGGGTCCCTAATAAAGTGCATAGCCTAGCATTGGCTGTGTAGAGTTTAAAAGGGAAAAATAAAGTAAATATAGTTACTCAGCAAACAATATATTGTTTATACTTAAAAAATCTAATTTAAATCTAAAGAATATTTATAAACATTTTAAACTACTGTTATTTTAATTTTATGTTAAAATAATGTACAATTTTTCAAAAATATATTTTTAAACTTATGACGTGAATTCGTAATGGGAAGCTTACAGACTAAGAGGTATAACTAGAAGATAATAAACAGATATTAGAATTTTCAGTTGAGAGCGTACAGGCTTAAGTTGACGTCATGTGGCGCACGTCGGACACAACCAGTTCCCGTCCGGGGCCTCCGTGATGCCGACACACGCGTAGTGGTACCATTGGTACTCACACTCGTCTCCGTCGCAGCCAATCATTGGTGCGTCTGGAACGTCCTTTCCACAGTAACAGTAGATGCTTTCCCTCGCATTCCTGGATGACTCCGCAGCCCACTCCTCGAACATAATCTCTTCGTAGGGCAGCACGTAGCAGATGTGGACTGCGTACTGCCACCTTCTTACGTTACACTTATAACAGCCGACACTCTCTGTGCCGTGGCGCCAGAAGAGATGACACAACATGTCCTTATATTTATCGTAAGTTGCGGAGCAACCACCGCAGGTATATTTCCTCGGTCGTGCAGTAGCCTCAGTCCTTTCGATGCCAGCAGTTCTCATTATGAAAGCAGAATATCGAATATAATAAAACAAGGAGATCCGTTGTTTAGGAAAGTGCAAGTGATAATAACTGGTGAAAAGCTTATTTAAACATTATATATAGGTCATTTATTACGGAAAAGACACTAAGGATCAGTCGTTAGCAAATGACACTATAATGATTTTAAACGCTATAAAAATATTTCCTTCTTACTCACTTCATAAATTAATTAATTTGTTTGTCATAACAAATTGGTAGCTTATCTGTTTTTTAGAGTTTCATATTTTTTAAACATTCCTATGAGACAGGGTATTTAAAAAATGCGTACAAAATATACATACGTCATAAACTTAAACCTCGAACCGGCATAATAGAGGAAACATTTTCTTTGGATTCTGCAGACTCAATGGTAGACACTGGCTAATATAAGTACATAGTGCACATAGGTCCCTATTGTTACTTACATATTTTTCATCCCCGTTCAATTTAAAGTTTAGTTATCAGTGCTTTAACAACTAAAATTTACTTTTGATCTGCTTATTATTTATCACTTTATCTAATTCAATTATACAAAAAAAAATTTTTAGCTGACAGAAAGACAGCCCGAGCAACATTGGTATGATTATGGATATTGGATAAATACTTACTAAAGTCTTAGTTTTTTTACACATTGCACATGTACCTCCACCTGAGGTCTCGTATGACATCATCTCCATGCGCTCGCTTTAAGTGCAGCGAAGAGGAGCTGAACCGCTACCACCTCCTTCTGAATCCGAGTCGAATGATAGGGCAATTAGAGTTTTTCGAGATGGAGCGCCTGGGGATGTGGATGAAGAGAGCGGGGCAATGGTATTATAAATTAAAATATATATATATATCTTTGTGGTGAATCACTTGCTTGCACTGGTCAACACTTTGGTCTTCAATCGACTTCAATCTGCAGGCACAGAAAAAATTTAGAACTTTTAAATATTTGTTTAATGTATTTGAATACGGATTTATGCACTCACGTCTTCTCCGAGTGGCGTCTGAAGGGGAAGATTTGTCAAGCAATTTTACGGGTTATCTAACCAAGAAAAAGGAATTTTATAGAAATGTTTAATTTAAATAAGTTATACTAATATCATAAAGATTGTCCCGGTTATATGCTTAAAGGTGTTCTGCATAAGTTGGTGTGGTTTGTAATGACTCGGAATCCGTTATGCTGTTATTAAGAACTCCTACGAATATAATATTCATTTCGTGACACCTTTACGATATATGAGTTGATCCATTCATCAACTTAAAAAGGTGTAGAAGGTCAACAAGGTTTTGAAGAAGATTGTGCCTACCAGGATAGCGACAAGATTCATTATGTTGAGGACCAGGTATAGGTCGCGATAGCTTGCGATTTTCTCTACGGGGATTTCAGGATATAAAATTTTCATGTGGGTAAATTAAAATTACGTACAGTATTTTTTTAAATCCTCTTTTTTTGGGCAGTCGTGTGTAAAAAACGAGGAAACGTTAATAGAAAAGCTACGTAGTGCACTTGCGCTTCGCTTGGCTCGCCGTGTAGTGTTGACTAATACTATATTTTATGTGTAACAATTAAAGAATGTATGTTATTTCCAATGTGAACAATAAATAGCAAATTTTATGTTGACTTATGATGTCTTCGTTTCTAACATAATATAAGAAACTTTAATATACAGGGCGTTCCACGTGTTTGTCACACGGAGGGAAAGTATATTAAATATTGAAGATAGAATATTTACTAAAAGAAGACATTATTTTATTTTTAATAAAGCTCGATGGCGCAGGTGGCTAGCGCGTTCGACTGCGATCGTTGAAGTTAAGCAACTTTCGCAATGGTCGGTCATTGGATGGGTGACCAAAAATATTCTATCTCGAGTTCCTCCGTGCTTCGGAAGGCACGTTAAGCCGTTGGTCCCGGTTGCATCTGCAGTCGTTAGCACCCGCCAATCCGCACTGGGCCCGCGTGGTGGGTCATGGCCCAATCTCCCTATTCCATCCATAGGGAAGGCCTGTGCCCCAGCAGTGGGGACCTTAATAGGCTGATGATGATGATGATGATGATGAATAAGTAGAACTGCGTTCATAGTTTAAAAAAATCATTTGCCAAAACCAGGAATCAAACTCATGAAATGTGAATAAAAAAACATTTATTTTATGATATCCGGTAGGGCCAGTTTGCGACTTTTCCTAAGAGGATTTGGGGATAACATTTATTTTTCTTAGGGAAAAATAAAACTGACAGTAAGTATTTTTTGAATCCTGATTTGATATCAACATAGTAAGCTTCTAAATTTCTCTTCTCATTCCATCTGTTTGTAAATGAATGGATATCGTGTGCAATTATTCATAATAAGTTCATAATTTGGATGATTAATAAATAAAATAAATAAATAAATTTATTTATTTGCCCCAACATTTTCACATAGGTAAAACATAACAATTGTTTTCTTTATGCTTAATAGAAGCGACAATACTACATAAAACGAAAAATACAATAAAATAGCACTTACAATACACTAGTACCTAAACTAGGCCGAGCCTGTATAATAGGTACTAGATCCTTCCTTTTTGACTAAATTAATATGGAAAGGATTTCATCTATAATATTTTAAATTTTGTGCTTGTGGATTCTGCAAGAATTTTTGGTGATATTTTGTTTAAATTCAAACTAAACTAAACAAGAATATATTTTTTTCTGTCTGTCTGTCTAATCTTCTGTTCGCTCTAATTTGTAATTTAGCAAAAAAACAGTCCAGGCTAAGTCGTATTTGAATACTTTCTAAGAGATAAAAAATAAATATTTGTGCCTCTAAGTTCGCGTGCCTTGATGATTATTATTGAATTCAATCGAACGCTGTGCCATCGGCAGTAGATACAAACACATTGGATGATATATTTAGAACAAAATATAGGCAAACAATTACGTAAGTAGTCCAGAGAAGACCCAGGAGAATGATTCGTTCAAGCGCATGACGCGTGAGACAGCCATCATTTCGCTCCCCGATATTTTGGGGAACGTAACGGCTTGCCTCACACTAAACCCACACACCACTGTGGTTATTTCTCATCAAATTTCTATGATAGCACTAAAACTACTGAGGAAGCAAACTAGGTATTTTTAAATTGCATTATTTTGGCATTAGTCGTATGCAAATACTATACAGTTAACGAGTGTACGAGGTACCTGCATGAATATCGCTGTTCTGTGAAAAATATTTTTGCAGTATAAAAATTATAATAACTATAATGTTTTAAATGTAAATAATAAATAGTATATTTTATGTTGGCTTATAAAGTATTATTTTTTACAGAATATAAAAAACTATATATGTTAAGCTCAAAGATCGAAAACGCTCAGTGAGCGGAAAAATTGCCACAACGCATTGTGGTCACAGTAAAACATCCACATCGCGAAATTCGTGTTATGGCTATAATGAAAACGCGCACGACGCGTTGTGGCAATCACAGAAAGACCAAATAGCGAAATTCGTGTCGTGGCTGACATGCTATTCGATTTCAACGCGTTGTGGCAATGAAGAAAAGCCATGAAAAAAAAACCACTCAAAAAATATTTGAGCTAATCGCATAAATAAATCGTTCTAACAGGATTCGAAGGATGCAGGCAGATGCATTGGAGCAGTTGCCATTGCACCAACCGTTCGTCAAAATTATATTCAAATCTGTCCATTTTATTTAAGAAAGTCGTATACTCATGAAAAGAGTCTTATGCAATATGAACTTTTCAGGAACTTTTGATCGATATTTAACGTTTTTAATACACTTAATAACCAATTTGATAAAAACCTTTGAATATATTATAAGTATAATTCAAAACAATAATATAAAATTACAATTTAAAAAGTTAGTTTAAGATTTTTAGTTCCAAAGTTACTTGCTTAATAAAATTCTGCTATCTTAACAGTATGCCACTGTGAATTTGGACATGTAAACATTCGGCCAAACAATAATTTTGTTTACAAAAAAAGTTATGTCAAATGAATTTTGGTGCAACAAGATTCTGCCAGGTCGGTGCGCGAGTCCGAATTTTTTTTCACTGTGATACTTGTCAAAAGTAAGCGAAAATCTTGTACAGGCTTGTTTTTATTAATAAAGTTTTCAACTTCGATCACTTGTTATAAGTTGGACTTGCTGTTTAATAGTTCCAAAAGAGAAGACCTATAATAGCAAGTAGAAAAGTAACTGTTCATGTAAAACAATAACTAGGTTATAAGTACATAAATTGGGAGGTTAAGAAAGGAGAAAATGTTAGGTTCGGCTGTATTCTTATTATTAATTTTTGTTAAACGACTACCAGCCGCCCAGGATTTAGTGCGCGTTAAACTATTTTTTTTTCTGGTAAGCCTTCTAAACACTTAGAATTAATGTGGCTTTCTATTGGCAAAAATATAACAAAAGCGGTAGATGCAGCCCTATAACCCCTATAACCCCCACAACTTTTCCTCGTTATAATATAATATTAGTATAGTCCATGTTATGTTATTTATTTCACAACTCAGCATTACATCATATGCAACAATATAATTGAAACTATGTGATGTATACGTACGGAAACCTTTGTTTGCAAGTCCGGGTTCTACTACTTGGCTAGTATTATTTTATCGTATGATGTTCTTAACTGCATATAAACTTTATTATATTAATATAGTCTATGTTATTTATTTCACAGCTCAGCATTACATCATATTATTATTATATAACAATATATTTAATGATTTGGAAGTATGTAATGAATATTCCGTACGTGTTCATTACACACTTCCAAATCATCAAAGACCTTTGTTTGTAAGTCGGGCTCGTACTCGGCCTGTATATTTTTAACGTATGGTATTTTAAACTGCATATAATTAAATACCTACGGTACTGTGGTGTCGAATCTTGAAAGGGTAAAAATGAAATTTATAAGTACAACCATCCACACATCAAGTAACCATAAGCTATTCATTAAATAAAACTAGTGTTTCACGGGTTAATGCACGAAACTTTATTTATTTATTGACGTTTCGCAGCCTTTACAGTAAAACAAAAAAACTAGTTTTATTTAATGAGTGATGTGTGTGAAAACCTAAGAAACAAATACATAAGCTGTTCATTTTATACTAAATAAAAAGACTGTGAATCTTACATTGAACAAATGTAAACATCTTTAATCGATGGGGGAAAGTTAATAGTTTTAGATAACATGATCTGTGGCTATCTGTACATACACCACAAGAAGTATGTTTTTAGGAAAGTCTGGCAAAACTCCATAGCGTATGGTCTGTACTTTATAGGACTTTTATTGATTTATTAATAATTTCATTTAATTAATTCGCAGGTTTTTGCACTTCACTCATAAAAAATAACACTGGCATCATATTCTGGAGAACGAAGAGATATATATAAAAGATTTAAAAAACGCACCTTGAACCCTTTGAAAACAGTGTTTGTTCTTAGTGTTCTGTGCCTAATACTTCCCATATGCGTATATGAGTAATTAAACAATTCAAATTAACTTAATAAGAGAGTTTAGGTTCATTGCTATAACTCTAGTTCCTCCATCAAATTTTTACCCTACAGTAAAGTTTGTGAAAAAGAATGTGTTAAAATAACTTCATGATTAAAACAATGTAGTACCTACATTGTTTGAAAGCTGCATTACGTTCCAATACACTGCTAGCGTTAAATTCTGCACAGTATTTTAAAATGTAAACTCCGAAATATATGGTTATGAATGGAAACAGTGATTTTTTTCGCGTCACACTGGTGCGCGAATAAATGAGAAGTTAACAAACGAATTTACTGGTAACTGTTAATTTTTATGAAAGCTGTTCTTGTGATTGTTTCAATCTAATTTAATAGATTGAAAAAATCACAAGAAATTAAAAAAATAATCTATTGCGCCCAATATTCGTTTAATTGTAATTTTTTAAAACAATTATAATACTTGAAGCGAAAAATATATTTTGATAAGTTAATGAAATTTTGTAACAAGATATATTGGACAATGAGAAAGAAAAAACTAAAATGGTTAATGGTATAGATGTCGAAACTTAAAAACTTTTCAAACGTATGTTGAAGCGCAATTTACTTATTCAATTTTTACATTAGCCTTACCATTTCGGGTCCCTAATAAAGTGCATAGCACAGCCTTGGCAGTGTAGAATTTAAAAGGGAAAACATAAAATAAATGTAGTTACTCAGCAAAACAGTATATTGTTCATAGTATAAAAATCTAATTTACTTACAAACTAAGAAGTATAACTGGAAGATAATTAACAGACTATTAGAATGCGCAGTTGAGAGCTTAAAGACTTAAGCCAACGTCATTTGGCGCACGTCGGACACAACCAGCTCCCGTCCGGGGCCTCCGTGATGCCGACACACTCGTAGTGGTACCACTCGTATTCACACTCGTCTCCGTCGCAGCCAATCATCGGTGCGTCTGGAACGTTCTTTCCACAGTAACAGTAGATGCTTTCCCTGATACTCCTGGACGACTCCGCAGCCCACTCCTCGAACATGATATCTTCGTAGGATAGCACGTAGCAGATGTGGAGTGCGAACTGCCACCTTCTTACGTTGCACTTATTACAGCTGACGCTCTCAGTGCCGTGGCGCCATAAGAGGTGACACACCGTATCCTTATATTCGTCGTAAGTTGCGGAGCAACAACCGTATGTATATTTTCTCGGTCGTGCAGTAGCCTCAGTCCTTTCGATTCCAGCAGTTCTCATGATGAGACTACAATATCGCATGCAACAAAACAAGGAGATCCATTGTTTGGGAAAGTGCAAGTGATAATAACTGATGAAAAGCTTATTTAAACATTATATAGGTTATTTCTAACGGTAAAGAAAATAATTTTAAAGCCTATATTCCTATATTCTATTTCTGCCATCTTAACACTATGCCATTGAGAATTCAGACATATGAACAATTGGCCTAAAATAATAATAATTAAAAGAAATAAAAAAAATACAAAAAAGTTAATCCAAAATATTGTGGAGCAACAAGATTCTATCAGATAAAGGGAACCTCTTGAAAAGACCTTCTCATTTTTCGTTCACTTTCGTTTCATTTATAACGGTAAAAGACGCTGAGGATCAGTCGTTAGCAAATGACACTATAATGATTTCAAACCCTATACAAATATTTCCGACTTACTCACTTCATAAATTAATTGATTTCTTTGTCATTACAAATTGGTGGCTTACCTGTTTTTTTGAGTTTAATATTTTTATAAACATTCCAATGAGACAGGGTATTTAAAAATAGCGTACTTAATGTACATCTTAGATATACTTACGTCATAAAGTTAAGACTCGAAAAGGGCAAAATAGAGAAAACATTTTCTTAGAATTCTGCAGACTTAATGGTAGACATTCGCTAGTATAAGTACACAGTACAGTAAGGGATGAAAAATATATAAGTTACAATAGGTACCTAACCTATTGTAACTTACATATTTTTCATCCCCGTTCAGTTATACTTTCAATTTAAAGTTCTGTTATCGGTGCTTTAAAAACTAAAATTTGCTTTTGATCCGCTTAATGGCCCCTTTATCTAATGCAATTATACAAAAAAAAAACTTTTAGCTGACAGAAAGACAGCCCAAGTAAAATTGGTTTCAAACCTTGACCTTTCCGGCTAAAAATCATTGGTCGGCCGGATTTTTTCTTGTTGAACATGATATTTCACACAAAATTCTATATAAGATTGATCAAAATCCGTGATGACGGAAAAAAATATGCAAATTTAATAATAAATAATTTAATTAAAATATTTCCGGCCAATCAAATCCACGCCGACCAAGCAAATATTGTTCGTCTAAACGTTAACTTTTATTTTTTATTAAAAATATTAGAATCCGTGATCACGGAGCTTTCAGGATTGGTGGCTCCTCGCCTATAAGTGCAGCGCAGAGGAGCTGAATCGCTACCACCTCCTTCTGAATCCGAGTCAATGATAGGGTAATTAGAGGTTTTTGAGATGGAGCGCCTGGGGATGTGGATGAAGAGAGTGGCGTAATGGTATTATAAATTAATATATATATTCCATTCATAGGGAAGGCCTGTGCCCCAGCAGTGGGGACATTAATAGGCTGATGATGATGATGATATATATATATATCTTTGTGATGAATCACTTGCTTGCACTAGTCAACACTTTGGTCTTCAATCGACTTCAATCCTCAGGCACAGAAAAAAATTTAGAACTTAAATACTTGTTTAATGTATTTGATTACGGATTTATGCACTCACGTCTTCTCCGAGTGGCGTCTGAGGGGAAAGATTTGTAAAGCAATTTTACAAGTTATCTAACCAAAAAACGGAATTTTATTGAAATTGCTTAATTTAAAAAAGTTATACTAATATTATAAAGATTGTCCCGGGTATAAAAAAGTTTACTAATATTATAAAGATTGTCCCGGGTAATACGCTTAAAAGTGTTCTGCATAAGTTTGTGTGGTTTCAAATGACTCGGAAATCGTTATGCTGTTATTAAGAGCTCCTACGAATAAAATATTCATCAGTAAAATATCAACTCATAAAACGTGCAGTTTGCGTCAATGATGCATGTTGCTTAGATTTCTTTGATGTTTGTACTTCACATACTGATTATAATCCTCGTAATTATCAGGCCCCATTATTATCAACCCCAATTACCAAATTAAATGGAATACTTGTGCACCACAGAGTAAAGTGCTTATTACATACACTACACGATTTTCAGTTAATTAGGAAAGGGTGAGGCTGCTAGTCGGATGGCATTTACGCTGCGTCAGCACATTATGTCTGTAGATTTCTAGTTATAGGTAAGGCGTGGATTGGTTTTAAAGACTAGAATTAATCCAAGCGCAGAATCGTCAGTTGTGAATCGAATAATTTTTTTTTTCCGATTTACATGTCCATCTAATGTTAAGTTACCTATAATTAAGTAGAATCCGGTTGCGAAGAAAGTTGACGCCGCCGAAATGTTTCGCTTTGGCCATCCTTACTGTGCTGACCTGAAAATGGGTCTACCTTGTATCGACGAACTTTTTATGTCATATACATTTCAGCGGATGGGATGGCATCAACTTCATTTCACAGAAAATCATTTCGCGATCACTCATTTACAAGACGGTCAAACGCATGTTTTTTTTTAAAGGAATTATCTTTAGATATAAATTTATTATCTAAAATAATTAAAAGCAGAAGAGTAAATTCGATTTTTCTGCTTCAGAAAGTTCACAGTCAGTATCGTCTTTTGACATACAACAATATTTAACTTTTCTTTGATTATTTATATCTATTATTATCTATGGTGACTGGGTCACCACACTAACCTAACTCACTGACCACAAACAGCGATTGTGCTTAATTGAACGATGCAAGTTTTATTTTGCCAAATCAGGGGTATACAATCAAAGTTGGTAAAGTCCACAAATTTTTAAAAATGTGAGATTAAAATTACAACGCATTCATTTCCGTATCTATATTTATCCCGTTGAATAATTTTATACAAATTCTATAAATCTCGACTGTTATTTCAAATTAAAAATTATCTTTACAAACAAACGTAGCAAAGTCCACGTGAGTTGAGTTTCAATTTGCGTAAAGTCCTTTTCGACCAATAGGAAGGCTCCACTGCCTCCATTTCACTGACAGCTGTCATGGCCGCCTCTGATGTTGTAGTGTTCTTTTGTTGTGATACAGTTACAAACTTAGTAAAGTCCAAAACTTGGACAAAGACCAATTGTTACCAATAACAAAACTGGGATAGTCTATATATTATACTTAAGGCTTTACTCAAAAGTATTGAACTGAACGTGATGAACACTTGTATTTCCATAATGTATAACATTAGAATAGTTACCTGTAATTATTAAAATAATCGTTTTTATCGTTTACTGAACATTTTGGCAATATGGACTTTACCAATTTTGATTATATACTCCTCAAATTATGTCTAATGAAATTCTGCCCTATGACATTGAGAATTCAGACATATAAACAATTGGCCAAAAATAATGATATTTACAAAAACCTTAATCCAAATTAATTTCGGAGCAACCAGATTTTACCAGATAAAGGGTACCTCTTGCAAAGATATTGTTTTAGCTTTTTTTTTCATTTCATCACTGTCAAACGAAATAGTAAGCGAACATCTTATACAGTCCTGTTTTTATTAATAAAGTTTTCAACTTTAATCAGTTGTTATAAGTTGGGCTTGCCGTTTGATAGTTCCACAAAGGCGTAGACTTATAAGAGCAAGTTCAAAAGTAATCGTTCATATAAAACAATAACGAAGTGATTAGTTACTAAAGTGGGAGTTTATGACGTCAAGAAATTAAAGGACAAAAGGACATGGCTAAGAAACTGACCTTAACGTATGCAATTATTTCGCACTAGCCCGTAACATTACTATATTTTTTTTAAATTATTAAGTGTTTATTATTGTCATACAAACGTGAAATAATCAAATATTTAAAAGTATAAAAAATTACTTTATGTCTGTTTTCAAATACAAAAATAAATAAAAAATAAATGTATACAAGAAATATGTTATGTAAGTATATCGAAATAAACAATATTAATTCCAAACTCCTAAAAACTATGGCATATTAGGCCCTAATTTTTATTATAACAAATCACTGAAGGCCCAAAATAATAGATTCTATTTTCCTGATCAGACTTTAGACCAAACTGTATGATGACGAATCCTTTGAATTTTGCAAAAGAACAAAATAATACTTTACTTTCATGGCAGGCCGATGACAACAAATTATTATTTGTGTTTAGTTTTGCATTAAAAATACGTTTTTGCGAAGTGTTAATCAGAGAAATGGGAGGAAAGATTCTAAGAAAATGCGAGATGGATGACTCAGTAAATAACCGGCAACACCTTTTATCAAATGAAATGAAAAATGAAAAATGCAAGGTAATGAAAAATTAGACGTTTTCATAATTTTGAAGATTATGACTTAATTAAAAGTTCCTGAGCCATTTTCATAGAAATTATAAATATTCAGCCATTCATCATTAACTATTACTAAGTACGATATTTATACAGTATTGGGCAGTCGCTCCTACAAACATTTACCATGTCCTTTAGGGTTTCGCTGTAATCTTATTTTAATTTTTCATAACGCCTAGCGGCCGCCTGCGATTTCGTTTGCTTTAAAGTCTTAATTTTTCGGGTTAATGTATAACCTATGAAACTCACAAATAACGTGGCTCTATATTGGCAAAATAATTTTCAAAATCTGTTAAGTAGATCCAGATTACCCCCTACCACCTCACAGACTCGCAAACTTTAACCTCTTGTAATATTAGTATAGTCTATGTTATTTATTTCACAACTCATCATTACATCATTAATGCAACAATAAAATTGATTCTTTAGAGCGTTTGGAAGTATGTCATAAATACGCACGGAAACCTTTGTTTGTGAGTCCTACTCGTAGTACTTTGCCAGTTTTTTTATCGTATGATCTTTTAAACTCCATATAAATAAGTACCTTCTTACGGCACTTGGAATCTTGTCAAAGTAAAATACAAACAGCCACAGATCAAGTTACCGTATACTGCCAATTTTATACTAAACTAAATAAGTAGACTGGAATTTTATATACATACTGTACTTACATACAGCACAAGAAGTATATTTTTAAGGGAAAGTCCATAGCATTATTTTCCTTTTATTTTTGTACTTTATAGGACTCTTTATTAATTTAAATTTAATTAATAAAATATATGTGTAATTTTTCATGAAATAAAATAAAAACCGCACGGAAAGCGATTAATAAAATTAAAGTACACTTTTTTAGTTATTCGTGGTCAATATACTTCGCATCTATGTTTGTGAATAATAAAACAATTAGAAGTAACTTTATATTAGAGTAGGTTCATTGTTAACTCTAGTTCCTTCGTCAAAGTCTCGTCTAACTGTAAAGTGTGTAAAGCAAAATATTGTATTAAAACTAACATTAATACAATGTCGGTACACATACCTTCGAAAGCTACACATTAAGTTCGAATATATTGCTAGTGCATAATTCTGCACAGTTTTAAAAAGTCAACTCACAAAATATGTAGCTAATAGGAACAGTTAATTTTTTGCATCACACGGGTGTGCGAATGAAAATGAAGTTAACCAACGAATTTACTAGTATATGTTATTTTTTTTATGAAGATTTACTTGTGATTGTTTCATATGCAATGACGCTTACTATTCGTTTAATAGAAAAATCTTAAAACCAATTTTTATATTTGAACCGAAAAATACATTTTGATAATTAAATGAAATTTTGTAAGCAGATAGATTGGACAATGAAAAAAGCAATGGTTTATGTTAAGATGTCGAAACTTAACAAACTTTCAAACTTTCAAAGGATGTTGAAGAGCAATCTATGAAATTTTTACATTATTCTTACCATTTCGGATCCTTTATAAAGTCCATGGCCCAGCCTTGGCAGTGTTAAATTATTATCGTTTTTCCTAAAGCCGAGAATTATTTCTTTTAGTGATTTGAGCTAAAGGTGAGCTTCTAATGTACTTATACGATTTTTAGAGAAATAAATAAAAGAAAATATAGTTACTCAACAATCATTATATTATACCTACATTCTTTCAAAAATTCGAATTCTAATAATATACTATTACATTTTTTTTTCTAAAATACATATTTTTTTTACTTATAATGTGAATTTGTGTTTGGAGCTTACATACTAAGAGGTTATAACAAGAAAGTAATAAATTAAAACATAAGTAATATATAGACTATTAGAATGCGGTGTGAAGAGCGTATAGACTTAAGCCAACGTCATTTGGTGCACGTCGGACACAACCAGTTCCCGTCCGGGGCCTCCGTCATGCCGACACACGCGTAGTGGTACCACTGGTACCGGCACTCGTCTCCGTCGCAGCCAATCATCGGTGAGTCTCGATCGTCCTTCCCGCAGTAGCAGTAGCTTTCTCTGCTACTCGTGGCTGACTCCGCAGCCCACTCGCCGACCATGATCTCATCATAGGGCAGCACGTGGCAGATGTGGACTGCGAACTGCCACCTTCTAACATTGCACTTATAGCAGCTGATGCTCTCAGTGCCGTGGCGCCAGAAGAGGTGACACACCATGTCCTTATAGTCATCGTAAGTTGCAGAGCATTCACCGCAGGTATATTTCTTCGGTCGCGGTGATTCGGTCATTTCGAAGCCGGCGGTTCTCATTATAAGATGACTAGCAAAACCAGCGAACTCCGTTTCGCCACCAGATAGCTTCGTTTTATGTAACATTTCGTTTTGTGATGAAAACGATTTTTTTTTTAATTTTTCCTGAATTTTCTTTGCTATAAACCTCACGGAGCCGGAGACCTTTCCAACTAATGCAAAACCGTGGAAATCGGTTCGTGCGTTCTGGAGTTATAGCGTCAGGAAGGAAAACCCGACTTATTTTTATATAGTAGATATAATATAGATATTGAAGGCAAAACAAGGAGATACGTTCTTTAAGAAAGTGCTATTGGCAATAACTGATTAGTAAACAATTTATTCATCATATAGGTGTTTTTAACCGTAAAAGACAATTAGGATCAGTCGTTAGCAAATTACACTATAATGAATTTAAGCCCAATACAAATGTTTTCCAAATACCCACTTTATTAATTAATAGATTTGTTTGTAATAATAAATTTGTAGCTTACCTGCTTTTAAGAGTTAAATCTTTATTTTTTACATTAATTAAGCGCCAGAAAAATATAATCTGTTAAAAAAAAACAAGTATCACCTTTTGGGCCCTGGAAGTACAGTTTTACCGTTATTTTAAATAAAACGCAAAGCTTGGTTCAGTCCTGCCAATGTGAACAGCCACACATTTTAAACTTTATCCAAGTTTCGACGTCATTCTCCAACTGTAAAATTAAAAATATGGTATAGACAGGTTTTGTAAGTATTAGGTAGGTTACTAACGCGTGTTTACATACAAGCAGATTAATTAAGCATATAACAAGTATATTCGCCGACTTACGTCAAAGTGATCTTCACAGCATCGAATAATGGTCTTTGGCGGATTCAAGGAAGAAGTGTTATTCGGATAAAATATTTTTTTTTCTGGTAATTACCGAGCAATCTCTCCCTTACCATGTCTCTCTCACTACGGGATATTGGCGAAATTTCTGTGTGAAACGGAAACAGCCACAGAACAAAAAAAAAATGGTCTTTGGAAAATAATTGTCATTTCTCTTCGCAGCTTGAAACCACTTTTTTCTCAGTTTTGGGTCAATTAAATTAATTCAATCAAAAGTCAAAAACAATTTATTTGGAAACTTTGTTGAAGTAGATGGACTCATTGGCACAAAACATGAGTCAACCCGGCGCTTTTTTTCGGAATATTACTGGTATTGTTATGATCACCTGATGTTGATGGATAGTCCATTTTAAATTTTCACAAAAAATATCTCGAAAGTCGAAAAAATATGCAAAAGTATGAAAGCCAGCGACGAACAAGTACGACCAGTGACAGACAGGAGTGACGTCATCGGAACCATAGGTCCGTTTTCGCGCGAAAATTTAAACTGTTAATTAAAAACCGCATTTTTTCCGATAAATTGCAATGTTTTAATTTTTTAATATATCTGTGGTTTATTGTACATGGAATTCTTTAAAATGAAAACAAAAATAAAAATATTGCATCTTCCCTATTCTCCAGACACGAATATAGACACTCTCTAGTATAAGTACCTACATAGTGCACGTAGGAACCTATTGTTGAGATAAAAAGGAAAATAAACATTTAATACTACACTTGTATTCTATATTTATTCCCCTTTATTTTTTTACTTTCAAATTTAAATTCTGTAATCTGAGCTTACAAAACTTACATTGGCGTTTGGCCTGCTTATTGATATACCCTTTATCTAACTTTAGCTGTAAAAACAAGAAAGACAGCTTGAGCAACATTGGTATGAATATGGTAGTATAGACAATTTATACTAATGTCCAAATCTACCGAAAATTTTACTACAAAGAGTGGGTCTAGTAAACTTTTGATTACATTCGAACATCTATCAGTTAAAATAAAAATGTTGTAAAGTAGTAATGTCTTCATTTATGTACTAATAATTCATTTCTCGCACTCTAATATTAGCGTTCTACCGTTTAATCAATTTAACATTACTTCTGAAACTATTTTAACAGTAATTTTTTTTTTGGCGTGACCGGATATGTTTCTATGTTGAGCAGAGAACATTGGTCACCTGTACCCCCCCTAGCTACGCTCATGACTGTGATTAATCGTTGGCTGTTCATCATCTCATAAGAATTTAAATTTATTACATTCACAGATACACAAATGGCAAGCAAATGATCCTACTAATATTATGAATATGAAAGAAAAAATCTCAATCAAGATCTAAAATCGAGACATACGAGTAGGATACTATTTATCCGGAAAATGTTAGTTTCTGTTGGCATTTCTAAAAAAAACACAAAGTATACAAGGACAAAATCGCGGGCGGCGGCTAGTGCAAAATAAGTATTTGGTCCCAAATAGTGTTTGGAATATGGACAAGAAAATCAGACCTAGGTCGAGTCAGCTTATTCTAATTACCTGTTACGTTTTTACGCTTTAGATGATGAATATTGACGTAGAAATATAGAGGTACCTATTAGAGAGGTGCCTTATTTAAATAAAATATATTTTATACCAAGAAATAAAACTGGGAGTTAAATAAGTATGACAAATTTCGGGAATCTAAGAAAAATCGCAAATTTTTGCTAGATCTATACATACAAATAAAGCAGCGAATTTTATTCAAAATATTCAATGTACTTTTAACTTTATTATCTTCCCTTCAAGTAACTCAATAAGATTGTTTTACTCGTATGTTGTACTATTGCCTGTCCACCACCCTGGAATCCTTTCGGTGTAGACAGGTATAGTCTTTTTGTTTTCCGGATTGTATTAACCTAAACCTTCTGGAACCTTCTGTCAAATGAAGGATAAGAAAGGAGAAAATCTTATTTTTCCTCTTTATAATATTAGTATAATAGTTCATGTCATGAGGAGCTCGATGGCGCAAGAATATACTTTCCATTTGGTATATGAGTAATAAATCAATTCAAATTAACTTAATAGGAGAGTGTAGGTTCATTGTTATAACTCTAGTTCCATTCCAGTCCTCTCTCTAGTCTAAGGCCGTATACAGAAAGAAAGCCGAAAGCCGATCGGCGTTGATCCTTCCTACATAAAGGAAGCCGATTAAAGCAGTTCAAGCAAAATGTCGGACTCATCGGACGATGATTTGGTTTTGTTAGAAAATGTTTATTTAAAAATGCGAAAAACAGCTATACATCCTATAAATAGAGAAAGGAAACGTTTCGGAGAATACCATCATTTATTTGTTAAAAAATTGAAATTTGCTGATCAAAGATTTTATGCATATGCAAGAATGACTAAAGAAACATTTAATTACATTTTGGATTTAGTGGAAAACCGTTTGATGAAGAATTGGTGTAATTGGCATAAACAACCAATCCTTCCAGAAGAAAGACTTGTTGTCACCATTCGGTAAGTACGAAACAAATAATTTTAGCGCTTAGTTAATAAAAGATAAAAATTAATAAAAGATTATAACTTAGATTGATTTAATCTAAGGATAATAATTCAAATACAAATCATTCATTATTTGAACAACATAGATCATAATAAAAAAAATCGGAATCAAGTGCTAGTCGGACTCGTGCACGAAGGGTTCCGTATCATTATCATGTCTTTTATGTCCTGTGAGGTGTATGTCAATAAACAATATTATTATCATTATCTATAAAACAAAGTTATTAGATTTATAAAAAGATTATAACTTAGATTGATTTAATCTAAGGATAATAATTCAAATACAAATCATTCATTATTTGAACAACATAGATCATAATAAAAAAAATCGGAATCAAGTGCTAGTCGGACTCGTGCATGAAGGGTTCCGTATCATTATCATGTCTTTTATGTCCTGTGAGGTGTATGTCAATAAACAATATTATTATCATCACACTAATATTATAAAGGCGAAAGTTTGTGAGTGTGTATGTTTGTTACTTCTTCACGTCTAAACGGCTGGAGCGATTGTAATAAAATTTGGTATGGAGTTAGCTGACACCCTGGATTAACACATAGGCTACGTTTTACTGCGGGAAAATATCCCTAATAAACCGCGGGTAACACCGCGGGGCACAGCTAGTTATCTATAAAACACTAGTAGTAAACCTCGCTTCGCTTCGGTGTAGAGCTGTAGTGTAGACTATAGTTTTTATTCTCGGGCTTGTATTATACACAATGACATTCTTCTGTTACCTAATTACAATAGGCACGCGCCGCCTGGCCCCCCGCCCGGTAGCGTCGGAAGCGCTATGTCCCTGCATTTTAAATCTGTAATATCTTCGAAAATATTCATTTAAATTACATGCTTTAAAGGGGCAAATTGATCTATATTAAATGCACAATGTATTTAAGGTACTTAATTGGATAAGGATGAATGTTATATTGCTGAAAATCGCTTCGTAAATAAGCTATTACTTCTCGTAAAATGTATAGGATAAAAATGGTTATTGTGGGTTATCCTTAAGAGATAGACATATACCATCGCGGATTTTTTTGCAGACACTATATTATAATATCGAGCAAAAACGGCAATATTTTGTAATAAGAGGGTTTTTTAAAAGTATGAGTAACGCTTCATATGCTCTCTTCCGTACCACATTAGCACAGATTAAAATTCCAAGCTACGCAACTGAATGTTGTTATTGTGGCGAGTATAATTTAACACTCTCTACAGTAGTCGTTAACGTATTTTATCTATACCCGTGCTTTAAAACCTCTACAAAGATTCTGAAACAGTTAACTTATTGCCAAAAAACATCGAATGTCCTAATCCAAACGGACGATATAATGTTGTACTAAATTTCATATTAACACTCCTTCGCTTTTTCTACCTGTTCATCAGACAGCCACATTTTTTAATGCTCAACGCGTGGTATACATGAAGGTAATGGTGTTATGTGTAAAAATTTCGAAAAAAGAACATTGTCATTCATGCGCGTTTCACTAAAGGTGAACGCAGACTTGGCCGCACCCCAGTCTCTGCAGTCATCGCTTTTTGTTATTGGCCTCGCATATCTATCCGCCCCGCAGTCACTGCAGTCGTTCCCGTCGCCGCACGCATCGCACTTGATTTCTTTCATTCGGTTTGACGAATGACGTCATCCGCGCCGGTGCGGGCCGGCGCTGGTGACGTCATCATCTG